GGCAAACAAAGCAAAAAACAAAACAAAGCAAAAACAAAAACCAGTGCTTGTGAGATACTAGAGATACCAGTCACAGAGAATGCTGGCACAGAAGAGGACCTCAGTCAAGGCGTACAGAGTAAATAAAGTTGACTTTGGATAGGAAGCATCTTTGTGTTCAGCCCCAGCAGAATGCACTCGTTCATGACAGACAGTTTACATCTGAGTCTGTCCTGCTTTAGCCGAAAGCCCTAAGTCTGGGACAACACAAGTCTGTGCAGTCAGTTCTGGCCCAAGACTCACCCAAGTGCTTGGTGTTTCATGCTTTGGGTTGCTCTGTGCAAGCCTCCATATCAGTCAATTAGTGCCTGAGCAGGTGGGCTGCTGCATTTGAGGTTGAGAGGACAGGGGGTTCCCAGATTCCTGAGTATGACCTTTGACGCTGGGAAGGAAGTATCCTGCTGTACCATCATGGGCAGCATTGCCTCCCTGGGACAGACAGTTTTTTTCTAGCACAAGCACCGAGTGTGAGGTTTGCAGCTACCTGGGCAGCTGCCAAAATTCTTTCTACTCTGAATAGTTTCATGTGGCAAGTAATTGTGTCTGCAGAAAACCCAGGACACAGGAAATTTAAAGCCAGTGACTATGGATTAAGTCTCCTGTTAGAAATGAGCAAAAGCCAAATGCCTAACTAGAAGGCATCAGGACAAAGACTGATTTCTTTCATTTTTTGTTTCTTGTCTATATATAAAGTGTGACTTGAGCATCAATGCCTTCGTGTGAAACACAGCCCAGGTGACCACTGGAACTGCCCAAACTATGGTATCATGGTAGCCTGAGGATGACACGTATTAAAAACAAATTTAAAGTTTTGAGATTAGGAGTGATTTGCAAAGAATAGCCGATCCTAAGTGTGGTATCACTCAGCTATCAGCAGGTTATATTGGAATAATTTTACTTTGCTTATTTCTTTTTAGTTTAGTTTTTAATTTTTCAAGACAAGGTCTCATGTAGCCTAGGCTGGCTTCAAAGTTGCTATATAGCTGAGGCTAGCTTTGAACTCCTGATCCACCTGCTTCCAGCTCCCAAGTGCTGGAATTACAGGTGTGTACCACTACACCTGGCTGGAATATTCTTTTTATCTTTTGTTCATTTTATTTATTTGATATGTTAGACTATTTAAAAGATGCCCCTTTATACAGGCCATGTTGTGACTGCAATTTCTATTTGAAAAGCATTTGATTTGTCAGTAAAAATATTAAAAAATGCACAAAACATTACTTGCTCAAAAAATAAGGTCTCAAATTTCATGAAACAGTGAAAAATATAAGTACGGGAACAGACATAGAATACCATTTTAATGGAATCATATACTGTCTTATTTCATTGGTAAACTGTTTCTACATACTTTGCTTTTCATAATGCAACTCTTAGTTTTTAGGATTTTAGAATAAAGGTCTGTTTCTCAGCAATGATTGGCAGGTCTGCTTCTGAATTAAAACGAACAGTCAAAAAAAGCCTACAGACATGTCCACTGAGGTTCAGGCAGATGAATCTACTACTAAGACTGTTCACATCTATAGCAAGAGCAGAGGTTTAGTGTGGGTCTGTCCCACCTACACCTAATTCCTCCCCAAGGTCTTTCTGGAGAACCCCTAGATTTGTGAATGCTTCAGAATAGCAAGCCTCAGCCTCATCAACTGATCAAGGAAAGCCTTCTCCAGGGCTTAGCTGCATTTGAAAAGGAATTCTCCCAGGCACTGAGGTTTAATCTTGCCATTTCCCCACCAAGAGAAATGAAAGAAGAATCAATGCCAGCAAACACTATTCTTTTAGCATCCTCAGAACTAAACACTCTAGATGCAAAAGCCAGTATTTATAAGCAGCAGGAAGTATGCTGGGCCCTTCAGAAACAAAATAAATTCCTCTGCTTACTTTGGCTGGGTGTTATGATTCCTCGCAGACTCAACTCTAGATTGTCAAAAGTCAGAAGCATTTTCTTGAGGGTGAATCCTAGGATTTACCCAGCACCCTTTCCCTGGCCTACCTGCTGAATGGAAGTTAATATCTAAATTAGTCCCAAACAAATTCAGCTGAAATAGAAAACAACACCCTAATAATATTAAGTGCTCTCAAGGCTCCTGAATAAGAGATGTTCAGGCTATCAATCTCTTTACCTTATGCTGTCTTTGAATAAAATGACTAATAATATATGTGCCTTAGATTTCAAATAGGACAGAGGCACCATAAGCTTAAGTATGAAAATGGGTGTGATGAGGATGGAAACATGATTTTAAAATTAACACATGTATAGGCCTGGAGAGATGGCTCGGTGGTTAAGAGCACTGACTGCTCGTGCAGAGGACCTGAGTTCAATTCCCAACTCCCATATGGTAGCTAACAGCCATCTGTAACTCCAGTTTCAGGGGATCCGACACCCTCTTCTGACCTCCTCAGGCATTGCATGACGCGAGTGCATTTACATACATGCAAGCAATACACTCATACACAAAAATAAAAATGATAAAATATTTCTAAAAATTAAATTAATATGTGTTTGTGTCTTGCTTTTTTTTTTTTTTTTTGAGACAGGGTTTTCCTATAGCCCTAGCTAGCCTAGAACTCTCTATGCAGAGGTGTGCGCCACCGTGCCCAGCTACCCCTGGCCTCTTAACTCACCTATGGTGAATTATTAGGGCCACAAGAGAGATATCACTGAGTTGGACTGACATCAAACGCAATGTCCAACTTAAGTTTCTAGAATCCTAAAGGACCTTGAATTTGAAGCTGTTCTCAAATCAGAGAACAAAATAAGGAAAGCAAGTAGCAATTTATTAAGCAAACAAAATGAGTAGACACTGTGCTTTGTGGTATTTATTTGATATTTCATTTTTGCATTTGCAACAACTGTGTAATGTATTACATTTTGTGTGTGTGTGTGCTGAGGATTAAATCCAGGGTATTAGGCACGCTAAGTGCATGCTTTACTATGAGCTAACTTTCAGCCATTTAAGAAATTATCTCAAATATTATACAATCACTGTGTGTTAGCCTCCATGTCTATGTTGAAAGTCCAATTGATTTCCAGTAATTATCCCTTAGCCTCCAGGTGCAATGGACAATCATTGAAAATAATAATAATAACAAATAATAAGGAAAAATCCTAAACTTGCAAAATATCAGTTAACAAGTTCACTGTCACAGACTAAGACAATTTTTAAACTTTTAAAAGTGAATTTATTTTTATTTTATGTGTTTTGCTTGCACATGAGTACATCATGTGTGTGCAATACCCAAGAAGGCCAGTAGAGGGCGGAAGGTCCCCTGGGACTAGAGTTATGAACTGTTTTTAGGTGCCATGTGGTTGCTGGGAACCCAACCTGGATCCTCTGCAAGAGCAGCCAGTGCTCTTAACTGCTGAGCCATCTCTCCAGCACCCCAGATTTGTGCAAATAATTAATCAAAACATTTTCAAAACTGTAAATACTCTAAATATTCAATTATAAAAACATATTCAATTAATATCCCCTATTTTAAAATCACCAAGTCAACAAGAAGAAAAAGTAGTTTCCAAGTTTTACACATTTTTTAGGATTTGTAGACCTGAATGAAAGATGAGGTTAGTGGCCATTTTTAGGTAATTACTTTTTACAGTTTGTGCCTTATTTGCCCTAAAAATAAGTGAACAATGGTACACAACATGTTTATAAATCTTTAAGGAGTAAGATCTTAGGCAATAATATCAAGTCTACTTTATATTCTAGAATTATATCTTCTCTGTATTATTTTTCTTTAAATAAGCATTCAAGGTAATTTCTGCTTTATTTGTGAAGCACATAAACCATTTATTATAGCTGAGAATTTTCTTTCTTTGATGGGTTAGTGGTTAACATTTCTAATGTAAGTAATCCCAATTAATTTCAGTTTTAACTTTTTGCCAGTTATGACTAAAAACATCTGGTAGTTGTAATTATCTTGTATAAAATGTCCAAATTACGTTTTTTTTGGTTTTGTTGTTGTCGTTTTGGTCTTTTTGAGACAGGGTCTCCCTGTAGCCCCATCTGTCCCGAAACTCACTATGTAAAACAGGTTGACCTTGATCTCACAGAGATATGCATGCCTCTGCCTCCCAAGTGCTGGGATAAAGGCATGTGCCACCAAGCCTGGCTCAAATTAAGTATTTTCGAGTAGGTTTTAGATTTTTTTCTCTGAAAATTTTATCTTTCCATCCAAAACTGTCAACTACTTTTAAAATATATGTCACCTAAACTCACATAACACAGTATAGTCCTTAGGACATAGCAGTGGGTCCGGAGGGTGTTACAAGGCATATGGCCTGCTCCCACACACCAGGACGTGATCTCTAACACGCACCTTATCCAACATGTGCTCTTAAAGCCTGTTCATTCATTATACATTTTAAAAACCTCTCTCATTATTTTCTAAATATATACTTCCCCCCTCTGGAGTACTTAAAAATGACAGAACCCAAATACTCTGAGCTGACACAATAACTCAGAGGGAAAAGTGCAGTTACACAGCCTCACTCTGACAGGAAGTTGCACAGGCTGGAAACCTGTCAAGGGGCAGTTGAGGTTATTTTTCTTCGAAAATTACTCTGTGCTACTTTAAAAATATCCTGAAATAACTCAGATCTACAGACCAAGTGGGTCAGTGCTGTGGAAGACTTTTCAGTGTTGGCCATCTGACACACACTAGGCCACAGTGAGGCCAGATGATCACCTGAGATGATGAAAGAGGAAGCAGGCTAGTCCTGACTCCTCCATGAGGACCTCATGAAAGATGACACTCGGGTCCCTAGCACCTGTGTTCTCATAATCAAGGTGTGGACGTGAGTGTTGGCCCAGCAATATAGCACAGGCTGCTTTGCACAGGTGGCTGTGGCCACTTACACTGCATGCTCAGAGAACCACACAAGGCTCTGTGAGGCTTGCTCTCAACACTGAAATGCACAAGCCATCAGACAAAGGCCCTAGGAATGGAAGAAGGTAGACGCTTACCAATTCTTCATTTTCACACTCAGAATTGTATTGTCCTGCTTCTTCCATCTCTGGTTTCTGAACAATGTTTCTGCAGACCAGCCAGATAGTCAGACTTGCAATGAACATCCCGATGTCTGGCACGAACACTCTGATCCCGTTGCCAGCGTCAGCTCCCTTCAAGCTACAATGGGAAGAAAATGAAAATGGGAGGAAATTGTTTTATTACTACAGTTAAACATTTTACTGAATATTTCGAACTTCTTAGTGGTTTAAAATAAAAGATGCTGAGTTTCTGCCTAAAAGTTACCAAACAGCTTTGAATTGACTTCAGAATCTTTTGAGTTCGACTGAGATGAGGGAAGATCCCAGTGTTTCACAGGAGTTTTAGAAATATAAAGAAAGCTAAACCAATGATCGATTCCCTGCTAACAAACTACATTGGTGTTAAATAAAACACGTGTGCCGTGTAATACAGTTGTACATCACCTAGATGAAGCTGCGTGAAACAAATATGGAGTGGCAGTTGAAGATTCTACAATGCAAATATAAATCAAGCCAGGGAGAAAATGGAGAAAACATTAAAATAATTCTCAAACCCAAGACCTCCTCATTATTTTGGCCCTTAGTTCATTTTACTTCCTGTACTGGTCCAAGAAAGGTGAATCCAGTGTGTTTATTTTTTAATTTTAGAGAAGTGGTGTCCAACTGAGAATGAGAAGATTTGGGTTCAAGCCTACGCCTGATGGCAAGCTGACGCTCTGCGTGGCCCTTATTCCCATAGCCCCCACTCTTTATTTGAGCCAAAGATATTATACCACTTGCCTTGTTTAACCCATTCCAGTGAAATAAGATATAAGGTCAGGATTTTAGGGAAAAAGATGAACACACACACACACACACACACACACATACACACACAGAATAATGTGAGTTTCTCTTTTGCAAAATATAAAACACATTTTCACTGATGCCTTGTGCTTTAAGAAGAGCAGCATCAATTGATGGTTACTTAAACATCAAGCTTTTGTGGCAAGTGCTGTTATAACTGAGATCTTGAAACTGTGTAGGAGGCAAGCAGGCCAGAGGGCGGTGTGAGGAGGAGGAATCTGGGAAGGTCATCCAGAGGCTATCTATGACTCTAGGCGTGTCCCAGCACAGGACCAGGAGGCTCCTTCCTGAGTTGCTAGCTTAGCTGAATGGCAAGGGCCTTGACTAAATAATGTTCTGGCAATGCCCACTCTGGGAAGTGTAAAACAACTGATTACAATTAACAGCCACAGGCAGACTCAACACATCCTTCGGCACAAGCCACAGGTCAGTTCAGCCCTTCCAGGGGCATGGATGACAAAAGAAAAGTGTCCCCACCACTATGAAGGCATGTCACACACAACTGTTCTCTGATCACCCACATGATAAGGAATAAACTCTGTCAGGAAAAGCTAATGAAATGATTGAGGATCTGAGGAGACAGTGAGTTGCAGGGAGAGAAGCAGAGGGTCTACTGCCAGGGTGGCACCTGTGACACTCACTGGAATCAAAGAGTGGGAATTTCAAAGGCAGGTTAAGTCTTCAAAGAAATGTTTGTCAGAGATAAAACTTGGTTGGAAACAAAAAGCAAAAGGTAGGCATGCAGGCCCCTTGCACAATGAAGATAAGTGTAAATACAGTAGTCAAACACTTTCTGACTGGCTTTAAGATCTGGTTGGTTCAAGGTCCCAGGGAATTAGAACCCTGCAGATACCCAATTCTTAGATGCTCAGTCCCACAACTAGTATATAATCTACATATAATCTACACACAGTCTCCCTTATAGTTAATCATCTCTAAATGACTTACAACATTAAGTGCAATGTTAACACTTTATAAACAGTTATTTATGGAATAATGACAGGACAAAAAAGTGTACTATTTAATACAGATAAAATTTTCCCAAGTACTTATAGTCTGTGGCTGTTTGAATCTGCAGGTACAGAACTCTCAGGTACAGAGAGCTGATTCTGTATGCATTCACATATGTGTTATGTAACTATATACTGTATTCATTTAACTATATACTGCATCACATCTCAGGGAAACATTTAAAAAACATTAAATAGCAAGACCCCGATTGCCTGGAAATAACAATATTTTAGTAAATAAAACATTGTTAATAATATCTACCTTATACTGAGTATTTTGTGCTAAAAGTTTTATATATTTTATTCATTACAATTAACTCTCACATACAGTAAGGCTTTATTATCCCTCATGTACATATGAAGAATGAAGGCTTCAAAGTGACAGCAAACTCAAAAGTCAGACAGAGAGATAATAGAGTTGCACTTTACTTTCTTTAAGTTCCAGTGTGTGATCTCAAAGACTCCCCTATCATCTGTACATCCCAAGGCCTTTCTTTCTGCTCTTTCCAATGTGTACATACATGTTCATGTTTACAGTCAACAAAACTGAGCACATGTTGCTTTTTTATTGAATTTTTATATTGCCTTATTTTGGGAGGATTGGTTTTTTTTTTTTTTTTCCCCTGGAGGAATGGTCTTGTTATGTAGCCCAGGCTGGGCTGGAACTTATAATCTTCCTGCCTTAGCTTCCCAAATGCTGGGATGACAGCACCATGCATGGCTATTACTTATTGTTTTGAAGCTGATTTATTCTTTTCATATATCACTAACTTTCAAAATTTATTGATTCTTATGCATCATCCTGCTCATGACTCATGTATTTAATTATTTAGTCTACAACAATTGTGCATAGAATGTTTTCATTTGCTTTTTACTAAAATGTTATCTCTAAAAATCAATAGCTAAAGGTTCATAGTACTGGAAGGTTCTATGTAGGCTGCTCGGGGGAAAGGCCATCAACAGTCTTACTCAGCTGTGAAATAACTACAGTAACAACTGCAGTGGCAAGATATGCCCTCTGGTGCAGTAGTGGCATGAATGCTAGGTGAGTAGTCAAACACTTTCTGACTGGCTTTAAGACCTGGTCCACAGGAGAAAATCCAGGCCTTGTAGAGTAAATATGGCCAAGGTCCCATGGCTGGGGAACTCACAGACCTCAGGGTGAACATACTACTATTACTATTCTGCTAAATGTACATACTATCAAACTTCCCTCTAAATTTATATCTCTATACTCATAGAGTAGTACAGCTTTCAGACCTCATCAGAGAAGTTCCTTTATGTAGTAAACAATGGTTAATACAGAAATTCACAACTGATCAAAATGCAAAGAGGAGGTATCAGTGGAGTTCTCAGCCACAAATCTTATCCCCCAACACTCAGGGACTATCAGGAAAGAGGGGGCAGGAAGACTACAAAAGCCAGAGATCAAGGGAGGACCAGAGCAAAACTGTGTCTTCTGGACATGACAGGACAACTGCCCTCATGACAAGCAGTGGTGGTCTTCTAGCTTGTTTCTCCACTGCTGTGACAAAACACTCTGACCACTACCAACTTGGGGAGGAAAGGGTTTATTTTATCTTACATCTCCCAAGTCACAGTTCATCAGGGAGTCCAAGGTAGGAACTCAGGGTAGGAACCTGGAAGCAGGATCTGGAGCACAGGCCATGAAGGAACACTGCTTATTGGCTTGTTCCCCCGGCCCCTGCTCAGCCTGCTTTCTTATGCAACACAGGCCCACCTACCCAGGGGTGGCACCACCCACAGTGGGCTGGGCTCTCCCACATCACTCAACAATCAAAAAGGTGCCCCATGGACACGGCAACATGCCAGTTCAATGGAGGCAAGTCACAGGCTCCCTCAACCCAGGTGTGTCAAGTTAACACTAAAGCTATCCAGCACAGGTGGTTTCCTGCTCAAGGCCTGCACAAGAACAAGCCAGTTGACATTCTAGCATGGAGTGGACAACAATTTTTGAGCCTCATCCTTGGATGAGGAGCTATTGGCAGTTGATGGATTCTGGGGAGGGAAAGTCAGTTTTCTTTAAAGGATGGCCCCTGGTAGGTGAACCACCATGCTCTTGCTAGTGGGTGGACCCACATCTAAGAGTATATGAGCAACACAAATTGGACTCTCTGGGTCATTAAAAAAAAGAAGACACTAAGTTTGGAAGGCGTTAGGAGGAGGAGTAGGGGGTGAATATGGTCAAAATACACTAAATGAAATTCTCAAAGAGTAAAAAAAAATCATATTACAAAAAATCAATAGTTAATTAAAGTGTTTGCTAAATTAGAATCTGCTAGGCATCAACCCTCTGACCAGTCAAATTTGTTTGTTTTTTAAATTTTTTTATTGAATTTTTTGTGTATTTAATACAGAACATCTCAAGCAATCTTAATCATCTCTATACCTCCATATCCACTGGCACCATCCCATAGCCCCACCACTGGAGCCCATATACTCTGTCATCCATGTTAAGGCCCACTGTGTCATCAGTGTTCCAAGCCATTCCCCAGTGCAAGTCCATCTAATTAATAAATGAACAGCCTCACAGACAGGCTTCTGTGGAAAGCTTCATTTTGGAAACAAACACCATGTGAAAAATGGCAAATTCTAGGGCTGTGGAGATGGCTCAGTGGTTAAGAGCATTGACTGCTCTTACAGAGGACCTGGGTTCAGTTCCCAGCATCTACATGGTAGCTAACAACCCTCTGTAACTCCAGTTCTAGGGGATCTAATGCCCTTTTCTGGCTTGTGCAGGCATTGCACACATGTGGTACACTTACATACATGCAGACAAAACATTCATACACATAAAATTTAAAAAATCTCTTAAAATTAACTAAAAAAAGAAGTAAATTCTTTTCATTTGGGGCTAAAGTAAGAAAGTTCCATTAAGAAAGCTTCAATTCTACAATAAAATCTGATGACTGATTCTATCATAGGAAAAACAGAGAGGTATGCCTTTAAAGTTTGCTTAACACGATCCAACAGAACAAATGAGTAGTACTTAGACTAATGAGGAGGGAAAAGGTAAGGAAAGTAGGAGACCAGCAAACAAATGCCGCCAGGTCACATCTTGAGAGCAGGCTGGCTCTACCTGGGTGGATTGGGTGTATATATTATTCTAGCTCTTTCATGGAAAACAAATTGACTGTGGCACTTCATGAATGCACAAACCAAAGTTGAGCAAGGATGAAAGAGTTTTTAGAGAAAAGTAGAGTTCCAGCTGCGACCTCTGCTATTTCTCATACTACAATAGAGAGGGGAAAAGCCAGAGGGA